AGAATACTGATAGGGTGAAACCTTGCAAATTTTCTTTTCCACAAAGGAAACTTCTTTTTTTAATTTTATTTTTAATTGACAAATAATAATTGTATACATGTATGGGGCTTGTGTATGTTTTGATATGTGTTTACATTGTGGAATGACTAAATCAAGGCAATTAACATATCCATCACCTCACACACTTATCATTTTTTTGTAGTAAGAACATTTACAATCTACTGTTTTAGCAATTTTGAAATACACAATGTTACTATTAACTATAGACACCATGTTGCACAATAGAGCTTCAGAATTTATTCCTCCTAACGAGAACTCTGTACCCTCTGACCAACATCTCCCCACTCCCCATCCTCCCTAACCTGGTAATCACCATTCTACTCCTTCTGTGAGTTTGACTTTTTTAGATTCCACATATAAGTGAGACCGTGCAGTATGTGTCTTTCTGCGACTGGCTTATTTCACTTAACGTAATGTCCTCTGGGTTCATCCATGTTGTCCCAAGTGGCAGGATTTCAAAAAGGAAACTTCTCCAGGGACAATAAAGCATTGACAGCAATCAGTGAGGACACACCAAAAAGTAGTCATCCCACCCACCCGTTTGGGAAAGAGAGGTAGTTATCTGTGAACTTTCCATAAATGTAATTTATTGCTACTCAAGAAAAATCACCAAAGGCAGTCACACTCTCTCTTGCCCTCACATCTCAAACTCTCAAGGAACAGCTCAAGTTGGTTTGCTCCTAGCATGCTGAAAAAGAATCACAGGATATCAAACAAGGAAGCTGTAAAGATATATTTATCAGAACGGTGACAAGTCAAGTACTTTTCTGCTGGAAAGTTAAAGATTCTATTGAAGATTTCTATTTCTGGTTTTTGTACAGATTTGATCACTTCATTGAAAACTTAAAGGGAACCAAAAGTTCAATTATCTAAACATGTAAGTTATCTTCCTAAAGTTAAGGTCTGCCTTATGGTTTAAAAGAGGGTTATGGTTTAAAAGATGATATCTGTATCTCTGTATCTCTTACGCTGTTGAGTTATTCAGAGGATAAAGTGGTTGATATAGTGCATACAATGCCCCCCCGGAACAATCCATATCCACACTGCACTAGACAAATTACATCATTCTAGATCTCCCCTTTTGGGTTTTTTCCATCGTGCTTTCTCACGGTAGAACTGTGAGTTGTATACTTGCTTTTTTGTCCTGGGTATTTCCTCATTTTTGGCATTGAGGATAAATCTTCCCACTGGCTCTGAGAACAGGACCTCAAGTTGAAGCCCACCGCTGCCCCTCATTACTCATATGGTCTTGGGCAAGTATTGTCCTCTCTGAGTCTCCATCTCACCACTGATGCGTGGAGAAAACAATAGTGCCTATCTTACAAGGCTTTTGTTAGAATTGATGAGTTAAAACAGGGCACATTTTCATAAACATGTCTATTACATAGAAAAACATCAATACATGTTTGTAGTTCTTTTTTTTTTTTTTTTTGAGACAGG